AAACAAAAAAAAATAATGTTTTTAGTAGCTGTGAGGTATCTTACCGCATACTCAGAGGTGTTAGGATACTGCTTAGTGAATTGTCCCCTCTGTTTGAAGTTCACAGTTGAACTTTCGTTATGCTCAAATGTTCGAACCGCTAATTGAACAGGGGGGTGTTCGGCCCATCACTGCCCAATTGTTCAGCAGCAATGCTGACTAATACTATCTTTCTTGACTTTCTTATGAGTCAGAAGCTTTCCCATTTAGATTTACCAAAACTGTTGAGAAAGGTTAGGGAGGTAGTGACCGTTCACCTTGTATCTATTATCCAACAAACTTGTACATATTCTCATATCCTTAAGTAGATCAATCCAATTTCTGTGATCTTAACATTGTGCAGTAGCAATGCTGACTAACTATTTTTCTTGACTTTCTTATGAGTCAGAAGCTTTCCCATTTGAATTCAACAGAACTGTTAAGAAAGGTTTGGAGTGGCAGTGACTGATCACCTTACATCTATCTATTGCACAACAATCGTGTACGTTGTCCATGGTTTCTTTTCTGTAAAGTCCTCAAACCATTATATATGATATACGCTATTATATTTCTGATTATGTAGTCACCAATCCCTCCTATCTTACCATAATTACTAAGCAATTCATGTTTTTCAAATTTTAATTAATTATATTGCATTCAAGTGCAGTTTCTACTGTATATGGGAAATCCCATTTACGCTGCAAGTCTTTTCTTAGTATTCCCCTATTATCCAACAAACATAAAGCCCTTGTATTCATATAACTAACATACTGTACTTGCCACTAGTAAATTAAGTAATACTTAGATATGTAATCTATATTTTGCTGGAATGTGTAAAAAGTGGCAGTTAGGCTGAAATATTCAAGGCTGAACTCCAGCCTTGCGTTCATTCTTCAAAGTTGCACAGGCACCTCCCCTGTACTGAAAGTGCTTACTCTACTTTCACTTATTTTAGTGATGTCATCATTGGGTCTTAGTGGTTCTCTATGCAATGCAGTCAAGTCCAGGCTGAAGGGAGGGGCCTATTAGGTGTTGTACATAACTTCCTGAAAGCATCACAGCACCCTGCCTCAGTACTTCCCTTTGAAACCATTAGACTATTGCAAACAAAGGCTCTCAGGAGGAGTTATGCAAATATCGAAATTCCTTTTAGCCTGGACAAGAGAGAAAACACCGCTCCAGGTTTGCCAGCCACACACTGCCACTACAGCACTAAACAGGCGCCAACCCAGCAACTAAAGGTAAAAGGAAGTCTGGACGACCGCAATACTGTAGAAATCACCTGTATCATCCTGCTCCTCCACTGCTATTTCATTGATGCTTTTACCCTTTCTGGCATTTTTCTAAATAAAGGCGATTTCTACAGTAGTGCGGCCGCCAGGATTTTCTTTTTACCTGGAGGAGTTGTCATTCCTAGGCAGGCTGCATCTGCATGCAGACGGTCTTATGTAATGACCTCATGTGATGATGATCTTTTATGATTGAAAGAGCTGAAGTCCAATAAATAAAAGGAGTGGAACAGGGACAGTCAAGGTGGGCAGGAGATGCTGAAACTCTTTCAACCAGGAAAAGAGGAGGGCTCTATCTACTAACGTAGGGGTTTCCAAACTGCGGCCAGGGTCCAGGTGCGGTTCTTTGCTTGCCTTTATCTGGCCCTTGGGTCATTATTCCTCCTACTGATACCAACAATGAGGGCATAATTTGTTCCACTGACACAGTGGAGCACTATTCCTCCCATTGATACTAATGATGGGCAATATTCCTCCCACTGACACCGACAATGGGGCACTATTCCTTCCACTGACACCACCAACAGGGAGATAATTCCTGCCACTTACACTAACAATGGGGCACTATTCCTCCTACTGACACCAGTGATGGGGCACTATTTTCTCCCACTGAAACCAATGATGGGGCATTATTCCTCCCACTCAAGGTCGGACTGACAACTCATGGGGCCCCCTGGGCAATAGGGGATCATGGGGCCCCTGTGTCTTTGCCCACACTCAAAGCACACCCAAAAAAGCCTATAAAAAGATACCAGAGGCATTTCATGGCGCCCTCATCTACTGCCCCCGGGCCCCTGGGCAGTGCCCAAGTGCTCGAATGGTCAGTCCGCTCCTGCTCCCACTGACACCAATGATGGGGCACTATCCCTCCCACTAACACCAATGATGGGGTACTTTTCCTCCCACTGGCACCAGTGATGGGGCACTATTCCTCCCACTGGTATCAATGATGGGGCACAATTCCTCCCACTGACAACAATGATGGGGCACTATCCCTCTCACTGACACCAATTATGGGGCACTTTTCCTCCCACTGGCACCAATGATGGGGCACTATTCCTCCCACTGATATCAAGGATGGGGCACAATTCCTCCCACTGACACCAATGACTGGGCAATATTCTTTCAGTTAAATGTGATGTGATGTGATGTGACATTGTTTACTCCCACTGACACCAGGACATTTTCTACTCCCACTGGCCAAAGTCCGGCCCCCCTAAAGTCTGAAGGACAGTAAACTGTTCCCGTGCTTAGAAAGTTTGGAGACCATTGATCTAATGCATCATGTGAGAAGCTCACAGTGTGCAGTAAAATCAGAGTAAGCACCTTCAGTAAGAGAGAAGCCTGTCCAACTGTGCAAGACTGAGCCCTGGTTTACACTGAATGAGGCTTTGAATTTGCGCTACTTCAGTGCAATTTCAAAACCGCCGATCAGTGCGATTTCTATTTAGCTTGCCGACATCTGTGACTTTATTGACAGATGTCAATGCAAGTCGCAAAGTAAATTGTAAAAAATAAAGTTTAAGTTGGAGTTCAGTTTTAAGTCAATCTTCTCTGGGTGAAGCAAGTTGTACTTTCCTATAAGAGATTATAATTTGCGATTACACACTACAAATGCTGAGCCCTGATATTGCAAGCCAGCTTCTCGGTCGGAGAATATTTCCATATCCCTGCTGTTAGATTCTCTGTTACTGGTCTTTGAACCTGCCCAATGTAAATGTCTCTCCAGTGTCTACCTATGTTATTTCAATCAAATGTTTCTTCCGTCTTGTGTGCCTGTTCTGCCAAATCATCCATTGCTAACCACCCTTAAGACATACATCGTTCAAAGCATTGTTAATTTATCCTGGGAAGCTGTTCAGAATGTTTCCCGTAGATGCTATAAATAAACATTGCATTATTGTACTTGGTGTAGAGGCAATGATACAGATATGGTAACCCAGTTGAAAATGTTATGCAATGTATTTTTTTTCAGCCTTTCTTCTATATTTAAACAAAAGCTGCATCTATAAATATCCAAAATTCTGAGCGAAGAAACAATATCATATAAATTGCCGAATTGTATCAAATAGCAAATTCTATTTTTTTTTTTTTCTTAGGGAGATAAGCAGAAAATAACTGGCTTTATGCAACATTTTTTCCCTTGGTGTTTTATGATAGATTAAAGCTTTGAATTTTACTTAACAAATTCCGTATCCAAAAGCTAATATCCAAGCTTTAGCAGGAGTGTGTTTGACATAAAAGTAATGTGCGGATTCAAAACTGCATAAAATACACTACGCCTGAGAGAACAAAAACATAAACAGATCAGGCTGGAATATAAAATACTTTGATCAGCTATTCCTGTGTTTTGTTTACCCCGACAAGAGGAGAGATTGTGTTATGAATTATTTATGGCACAATTATTGGCAGTGCAAAGATTAATTAGATATTGAGCCAAAAATAGTCATTAATCAATAGCAATCATACATTATTCAGATGCACCTGTCACGGTGACAATCCTGCTAGATCAGAAGAGCAATATGCAAATAGATGAGAAATTGAGAAGCTTGTGGGATGTGGGGTGGAAATAAGCCAAGCAAATCATTCATTTTTGCAATTTGACAAAATGAAGGTGGTCCATGGAGGTTCCAGAATCAGTCATCAAAGGATGTGGATTCATTTAAGCCTTGCAATGTTTTATGTAGAAGGGAATACAGAAACATTGTACTTACATTTTAATATGGATTTTTTTTTTGGGAAAATCAGTAAGCATAAAGATACATTCCAATCAAAAAGAAAGATGCATTAAAATGTATGAGCTGATTAACCATTAGACACACCAGGCAGTAAAAAGGTAGAAAGGTGGATTTTCTGTTTGTGTTTATAGCTGTACATTTTTTCCCTTGTCATCCATAGAAATACAATCTTTTTTTTAAAATAATGCTCTTTATTTCAGGAAACTCTTGGATATAAAAACAATTAAAAAGAAGTATACAGCAGGTCAACAACAAAATAGGAATAAAACATAATGTACATGTATAGTATATATAATATAATATAATATAATATAATATAATAACATTGTGTAATTAATAAGTGAAGTCCAAAATTAAAACCATCAGTCCCATGAAAATAATATGCAGGATAATCCTTCTTTCATATATGGTGATCTTCCACTTCAATACTATGTGCTCATTAACACCCTAATGTGTGCTTCCTCCACCAACATACATATATACTCTCACCTCCTAAATATGACCTCCGTAGCGGGGCCACTTCTCACGCAGCAGAACCGGAACAAGTTTCAGTGAAGGCTAGATATCAGAGTCATCACTGAAACCCATTTACGATTCCTCTGTGCGAGAAGTGGCTCCGCTACGGAAGCTGTGTCTGCAGGATATATCGAGTATAGTCTAAGAGGATAGATATGGATTAAAGTACACCAGGGATTGGACGCTGGAGAGTGCAGTAGGCTATACCTACCCAGGTTAAAGGGAAAAAGTGCTATCTGACCTAAAGTCATATATAGGAAGTGAGTGTATATATGTATGTCGGTAGAGGAAGCACACATGAGGGTGTTTATGAGCAAATAGTATTGAAGTGGAGGATCACCATATATGAAAGAAGGATTATCCTGTATATTATTTTCAGGGACTGATGGCTTTAATTTTGTACTTCACATATTAATTACACAACATTATTATATTATACATACCAGGGCTTGAAATATCCTCGCCAATGGCGAGTGGAAATTATGGTGGGGGCGAGTGTGTCCCCCAGGGCCATCTTGCTGAGCAGGCTCAGAGCTCAGGCCGGATCTGTCATTGGCACTGGGAGCCTTCAGACTGCTAAATAGCTGAGCGCAGTGAAAGCAAAGGAAGGAGTGTGTGCTGTGCTCTCTGCCTCCCCCTAGAGTGCAGTACCCGGCTCTGTGAGTGAACAACGAAGTACTGCAACTTTTTATGGGGGCGTGGTGTGTGTGTGTACGTGTACATGTGTGTGTCTGTGTATATGTACATGCATGTATCTGTACATGTGTCTGCGGGTATGTATATGTCTCTGTGTGTGTACATGTGTCTGTGTGTGCGTGCACATGTACATGTGTGTATGTGTGTGTTTGTGTGTATGTACGTACATGTGTCTGTGTGTACATGTGTCAGTGTATGTATTACATGTGTCTATGCCTGTGTATTTCTGTGTATGTACATGTATCTGTGTGTATGCGTGTTTGTACGTGCCTGTGTGTGTATACATGTGTCTGTATGTGTGTGTGTGCGTACATGTGTCTCTGTGCGTGTGTGTACATGTTTCTGTGTGTGTATGTACATGCCTGTGTGTGTGTACAGGTGTCTCTGTTTGTGTGTTTGTTGGTGGCGAGTAACTCTTAAAGGCCTGGCTAGTAGCTCAGGACTTGACATTTTAAGCCCTGTACTATACATGTACATGGTAATAGTGTTTTACCATTGTATATATTTTAGTAGCATCGCATTGCGCAGCACTTTATTTTGATTTAAATTCTACTGCATGCGGGAATGCACATAGTGTCAGCAGCAGTATACTATTTGGTGTGACATAATAAGTTGAAATGAATTGTTCTGAAGTACAGTGGGCAAAATGTAGAGCAGTGGCTTCCCACCTGTTGCCAATGGGCCGCATGTGGCCCAAGAACGCTATGAATGTGACTCAACACAAAATTGTAAACTTACTTAAAAATGTAGATTTTTGAGGGGAATTTTTTTAAATGCATTTACACTTTGCGAACACATTCGGCCAAAGAAACAATTGACAGCGTTTCTTTACTGGACTTTTGGAAGTTTTATCTTCCCAAATAAAAATATCCCACACTGCACAATGAGGTCATCGGTTTTCGGCAGCACCTATATTTGTTAGCAACTATTTTCAAGAATGAAGCATATGAAGGGAAAAATTTGAACGATCTAGAATTAGAATTTGAATTAAAATTTATGATAAGCACCTTGTGAATTCATTGAGAATTGCTACTACATCTATCAAACCAGATATTTAATCATTAGTTTAGCAAAATCGCACTAGTTTTATGTTGCCCTCTACCTTTTATAATAAAAATTATTATGAAAATATGAAGTTTTATTACTCAGATAGGTACGTTAACTGTATCAATGATCGTTAAATTGTGATCTGCCTGACTTTTTCTGCTCATCATTTATCCCTATTGTTAGTGTGTTTTATGTGTGGCCCAAGACGATTTCCTCTTCTTCCAATGTGGCCCAGGAAAGTCAAAAGATTGGACACCCTGATGTACAGTAATGTAAACTCAGTACAATACCCAAAATCTTTGAATCTGTCAACATAAAAGGTTACATAATAGGTGACCACCATGGGGAAAAAATGGTAGACAAAGAAGAAAAACAGTTTCCCTGTGGTCATAAATATTCAAATGAAGGGCAAAAGGGTACATATGACCAAGATTCCCCATTTACCAACAGTATATATCAGGAATATAGGAGAGAGAGGGTCAAAAGTGGAAAAAATATAGGGGGAGGATGAAGAGGAAAGAAGAATTCCCTTAGCCTGGGGTAGGAGGGGGGCTGAGACATAAGGTCTCAGATAGTTACAGAATAAAGCTGTAGGAGAAGGAGGAACTGAGACAGTGCTGCTCTAACCAATGTTCTGTAGGACATGAAAACCATTTTTTTTTAAAAAAAAAATTCCTCCAGGTGGTACAGGGAGGCGGTCAAATCCTTCATTTGCATGGTTTTGGTGATGTGGGATAGATCAACTTCAGCACAACCAGCCTGCCCATACATGAATTGAAAATGGTCCAGTTCTTGCTGAATTTCTATGGCCGGCTTAAGAGTGAGTTTTTTTGGTTGAAGTGTAGCAGGAAGGCCAGAGGAGCACTACTGTGCGGATATTTTGTCAATCTCAGTTTTATTTAAATGTATTTAAAGATAGTCTCAATATGTTAATCCAGTTTAGAATCAGTAAAACCAAAAAAGAGGTATCTGTAAAAGTGGGGATCCCAGAACAGGGGTGCTGCTTAAGGCTTCAGTACTAAAACTCTAGTCCTACCCAGGGTACACAGACTATCAGTTCTTATTTTAATCTTGGCATTTATCTTGTGCTACTTATTGTGTTGATAGTTGATAGCATAGCTGCTGATGATATTCTTATGTTTTGAATGGTCGAAAATCTGAGATTGTGAAAATGAAGGCCAATGTGTTTACCGGTTCATACACTAAATTCTTCCAGAGTTCATCACAGTCTTGCCTACTTAAATGCAATTAAAGTCCAAGCAAGCAGTTTATTACACAGATGAACATCGATCAAATGTATACTGTATATCTGCCAAGAGATCTGTATTTCTGTCTATCCAGTTCTGAGATTTACACAGCTCTGTCACACCACCCAGCCCTGCCTGGCGGGGTAAGATACTTGGTTTGAAACTTGGCAGGAATGAGAAACCTAGAGATCTAGTAGTAAAAGCAGCACACTTTGCACACATTACACATAGTTAGGCACACATTAAACACCTTTCACCCCCCTAGATGTTAACCGCTTCCCAGCCAGTGCCATTAGTACAGTGACAATGTATAGTATTATCACTGATCACTGTATTAATGTCACTGGTGATGTCAGTGGCAGTTAATTCCCCCTGTGTCAGTGTCAGATTGCCCGCTGATTGCAGCCATTTGTAGTATAAAAAGAATTAAAATTTCAGTGTGTACAGTATACCATAGTTTGCAGTCGCTATCATTTTCACCCAAACCTCTCAATATACACTTACTGGGATTTTATTTTATCAAAAACATACATTTTGACCAAAATTTATGAAGGAATTAGATTTTTATAATCTTTTTATTGAGTATGTTTTAAAGCAGAAAGTAAATATTGTTTTTTTCACAAAAATTTTTAGTCTTTTTTTGCATATATCACAAACAATGAAAAAACCCAGTTGTGATCAAATACCACCAAAAGAAAGCTCTGTTTGTGTGAAAAACAATTATATAGATTTTGTTTGGGTAGAACATTGCATGACCACACAATTACCAGTTAAAATAGCATAGTGTGAAATAGCAAAAAAAAAGTCCAGGTTATGAAGGGGGTAAAACCTTCCGGAGCTGAAGTGGTTAATTTATTGGCTATTGTTTTTGGTAAGAGCATTACAAGAGCCTGTTGCATAATGTAAAATGATGTTGAAGGAACAAAAGATTTATTTTCCACAAACTTACAGTATTCTTTTTTTGTCAGAAAATGGAAATGCTTTTAAATAGCAACTCGACTCTTTTTATCCAAGCAACCTTAGTTCTAAAAATAAGGGTTTTAAAGTAACATTCCTGCTGTTGTACAATGACTAATGACTTGCTACATGGACTATGAATTAAATATCAGCTTCCTGTTCTGTTTTCTTTTTCTTTTAGCTTTTTTTTTCACAAAAGATAGATATACATTCTATTCTATTTTTTTTCTCTTTGTGTCTCCTTTTCTCTCGCTCTCTTTCACTCACAGTTTGTTCTAAAAAATATAAAAATGTGTTACATAAAACATCATATACTGTATGTGTACAATTTTGTGTTTTTAATTATCTTTTTCATTTGCTAAATAAATATTTAATACGGGATGCACGCACCAACAATATTTATGTGGATGGGGTTTCCAAAACATGAACACAAAGGAAGCTGTTTGCTTTCAGACTGCTTCTCTTATTGAAAGTCTTTATTTAGCCATCTAATTAAGAAGGGGCAGGGATGATTCTTTCCTCTAACTCATTCAACTATCTGTAAATATAGTTTTGATCTATTAAAGCGGTATTAAACCCAGAAGCAAACCTTTATTTTATTTCAGTTTACCAATTCTTAGATGACCTTCTCTGCAACTAACTCAATCTACTTGCTATAACTGAAATCTGGCTTCAGGAATCCGACACTGCCTCTCCAGATGCCCTCTCCCATGGTGGCCTCCTCTGGACTCACTCATCCAGACCCAGTGGATGAAAAGGAGGCAGAGCTGGACTTCTCTCCCCACAAAGCACTTTCCAGGTTCTTTTTACACCTCCCTTTCTGTCCCTCTGCTCTTTTGAAGTCAACTGCATTTGCTTTTTTTCACCTGTTTGACTGAGGATCGCAGTCATTTACCATTCTCCCAGCCCAGTGTCATGCTTTCTTGATGACTTCTCTGCATGGTTACCTTATTTTCTCAACTCTGAAGCGTCCGCCATCATCCACCGTGACTTGAACATTCTAGTCAATGTTAACACCTCAGCTATTTCTCATCTGCTCAACCTAACTTCCTCTTTAAACCTAACACAATGGACACAAAACATCACTCACTCCAATGGCAACACCCTTGACCTTGTATTCTCCCACTTCTGCACTCCCTGAAACCTCTCCAATGCATCTACCATGCTGAGCTTCCAGTTTTTAGATGGTGTACGTTCTAAGATGACGCACTGCACCTTTTCTTGGTGGTCCATTTCATAGTTTCTATATACCAAGCCCTTTGCCTTCTATTCTAGTACACAGAGGAGTACCCAACATAATGCTTTACAAGCGAGGATTAGGCTACATATGTATTATGAAGAAAGAAAACACTTCAAAAAGTATTCAGGTGGTACATAAATCAATTATCAGTGCAGAGAACTCTTATAAATATGAATATAATAAATAATATTTTGCACATATAATAATTAATGAAATAACAAGAATTAATAATTAATGATATTCCAAAAGGAAAGTCCAAATGAATCAGTCCACAAAACGATCACCCTGTGAGGAAAACGTGTGAAAAAATAAATACATGTATATATGTGCAGTGCTCTCCTCTCAGGTGTGCACTCACCAAAAAGTGCTGCCTCCCACTCTCATGGTTGGCACACTAGGCTTTTATGGATGATTTTCCAAGAAATTAATCAGACCACTGTGATGTTTTATTCTCCTTAATCTTGAAACATTGGAATCCCAGGACAAGCGCTCCTGAACTCCAGCTCACAAACTCCTCCTCCCAATGCTCCACATTCAAATAACCATGTAGGAGAAAAAAAATGAGAAAGCTCCAGATGGTGCAGTACCAACTAAACAATTCTTTATTGCCACAAAAGAGTGCCACTTACAAGATGAAAAAAAGTGAAAAGCCCAAAGATGTTAGCTTTAGTAAGCTCTTATTGTAAGGAAAGCC